AAACATTAAAAAAATTAAAAAAAAAAAAGTGGGGAAATGCTGCAGGGACTGTGGCACAGTGAGTGCCCATTTTTTGACCCATGCAAAAAGTCAGTAGTCTCACTGTGGAAGAGGCCCATGTTTCTTACATGCAAATACAATATAGCCAAATTTCCGCCAAAGGCCTAAATATCACTGCAAATGTGACGCAAAAGCATGAGAAGGTCACTAGGAGCTAAATCAAACCTGTTAAAATACCACAAAAAAAAATTGGTGAATCTTTCTATAACTAAGACAAAAAGACATTTGAGACATTTATTCTCAGACAACTGAAGCTTGTGGGAACTTGAAATTTGAAATGTTAGAAATTCTTGGTTGGGGGTAATGTTAATAAATCTGCCCACTCTTGACTCTTGCCTGATTCACTTACCTTGAGGCGTCTTTTTTTTCCTTTCTTTCTTTTTTTTGGAGGGGGGAGAAACAATGACCATCAGCTTATCGTTTAGCAGTTTCTCTTCATCTGTAGATTGCTTTTAGCAATTCTGAGGAAAATCCCAGACCTCTCATTCTGCTGTGTTCTAAGAACAAGGCTATATTGTAGAATATCTCCTACCTAAACGAGTGGACTTATTTCCCATCTGCCTTTCCTGCTTTTACAGTGCAAGGCCATTCCGATTTGTCTTGAAGTAGTGTTTACCCAGGCTAGGATTGGAGAGCCCCCAGTTTCTCTACAGTTATGGAAGATTCCAAAGTTAATCCCAGTTGGGGAGTGGAAAGCAGAGAGGGTACCCCAGGCTAACTTGAATCGTCTTCAAGGGTCACACAGCCAATCCTTCACCTTGGTTTTGCTTTTGGTTTTATGATCCAGCTCAGAGGCAAGTCTTGACGCCCTGCCCATCTTAAGTTTCCTTGTAACCACCCGGCGGTAAGATCGCCCTCGCTCTTGAGTCAGAAGTGCTGTGTCTGTCTTTCTGCATCGCTGCCCAGCTTCACGCTGGAGAGATTTGCATTTCTCTTTGGGGTGATGGGATCTGAAGAGTACAGTATGAAAGTGGAATCTTAGGTTTTGAGAGTTAAGAATCTTCCTGGTCGGGAATCAGCACTAAGCACACAAGGTGGTGAGCTCCTTGATGGCAGGGAGTTTGGCCACTGTATTTTGTTCACTGATCTATCCCAAGTCCTGGGAATGGTGCTGGCCACACAGTAGGCACTCAATAATTGAAAGAACAAGCAGCCATATGGAACTAGATTTAATTCCATTGATTCCATAAAGATCGTTGGTCTCAACCACTTTACGGCCTTTGGTGTTCATTCTTTGGTTCCCTTCACATACCAGTTCTCCAAATCACTTCCCATTGCTTCCCATTGCTTTTTTTTGGCCCTGGGAATCGATTACTTTGTACTAAACTGTAAACACCTTGCACTTGGGTTCCCTTGTGAATGCTGGAGATTCACATATAACCTTGGCCTCATCAGTGCCTTGTTAGCTTTTACAGATTGCCGATTAGATCCAGGAAGACCTTACCACATCCCCCTAGCATTCAAGACCCTCTGCCATATTGCTCCCATCCACCTCTGAGTGGCGAAGCGGACAGACACGCCGCTTTCTTCAGCGGGTAAATGAAGCCTTCTCCCAGACATGCAGTGTTTTCTTCTGTCTTCTTGCCTGGAAATAGCCTCGCTCGGCTTGTTGCCAGCTCAGTTCCTCTCATCTTGCGAGGCCAACATCCTGCAAAGTGCTTCAAGTTGCCTTCCCTGCCCCCACCCCAAAGCACAGTCCTCATCCCTAACTGTGACTTCTTCCATTCTTGTTCTCATCCTCCGTGTCATGCAGTGGACTCTGCGTTTGGGTCCTGTGCTAT